TGAAAAGGTTTTTATAGTTCTGGGTTCTTAAAGTATACTGAAATATTTCATATCAATTTATCCTTGGCAAAAGAAAGAATAAGCTGCTTTTTTTATTATTTTTTTCTAGGTGGTCTCATGGGCCAAATGCTCAATCCTTTGATGTCGTTGGAAAAGATTGATTTAAATGAGACCAGAATTCATGGGCATGTGCTAAATCAGATATTTTTAAATGTATGCCACTTGAGATTGCGGAAGGAAAAATAAGCTCATAAATAGTTGCTATCTGTTTCAAGTCAAAGAGCACTTTTCTCTCTGTGAGTCTATTTATAGTTTCAGGCTAAGAAATTCTTATGCTTAGTTGCAAGAACTGATGAGTGAGAGTTTCACATACTGAGAGAAAAAAAACATGAGTTGACTGTAATTTTCTGCATCTTTACTCTAAAGAAAATTCATGACTCTTGTAGATGGGATATAAAATTAATCCTGCTTAGTTAGGAAGACCTTAATTAAACACTTGCAGTTTTCCACTTGAACTATGGCATCTGTAGTACCCAATAGAGTCAGTTCTCGCTATTTTTTCATCATCTTTTTCTTCTTAAAACAAATCTTTGATCTTGCCAGTGAGTAAGATTTTTTTATTATTATTATTATTATTTATTTTTTGCATTGTAGTATTTATGCTATTGCCATATTAGGACCAGAAATACAAATGGATTATTGTGAATCCTGAATTGTTACCATTTTTGCTGCTGGAATCCAGCTTCATACAATATTAGCAATCTGCTTCTATGTCAAAGCCAAACAGTGACAGTTGCAATAATGAATATTTGCTGCAGGACACGGCTATGAAAATAGCACAGTGCTGTAAGCCTGCGTCACCAGGAACAAATCTTCCATTTGACTGTGACTGAATTTGCAGGGTTGATTTTAGATCATTTATTACTGAAATAGTTCTTAAGACTTTGTCATAATGTAATGCTAAGAAATGCTGATTCAGTCTTCAAGGCATCAGTTCAAATATCTTTCTACTGCTTTTTGGATTTTTAATCCCTTATGCCTTTAATGAAATGCCCTGTATTTAGGACAGCAAACTGTGCAGGAGCAACACTGTATAATGTTCAAAGAGATACATGCTGGTTGGTTTAGAAGGACTGGTGAGAAGAGGATTTGAATTCTTTTTTTGTGAACTTACTTAACTAACAGCCTTCAGAATGTTTCCACTTTAATTCCTGCAAATGTTTCTAGTATATATGAGGGACATCACCTTTGCATATTTAAGTATGTCGTGATTTTTCCATTGTGAACTTGGACTCAGGGTTGTTTTCTTGCATATTTTGATGCCATTAGTGCGTTTGCATTAATGGAATATGCAACGTATTAAAATAGGCCATTCTTTGAAAGTATATGAGCAGAATACATACTGTGAACACTGGTATTTTTCTTAGGGGAAGAATTAGTTGAAGTGTGCTGGTGACATTTAACATTTTTAGTTTAATTTTTATGTACAATGATGCTCTCATGCATGTATTTTAACCTACCTTCGAAATGACTAACATAATTGACAGTATTTTCTTTTCACTTTAAGATAATTGCATAGTGAAATACAAGATCACAGTCCAAACAGGAGGTCAGATATCTGAAGCAGAATAAAATCTGCAATTATCTAAGCTTTTTATGGTTCATTGCCCCAGGTTTTCCTACATGTGGAACATAAAGAAATGATGATCTGTACTTTTCTTAAGGCATACTGACCCTTGCGCTGCAAAACTGGTAATGGTCATTGATGTACGGATCTAATTTCCTGTAAGATTAGGATGAGTATCAACCTTGCCATCAATCCTTAGAGAACGTTAATGCTTTTCTTTTTCTTTTTCCCTTCCCTTTCTGTGCTGCTATCTGCCCTCTGCCTTCCTTTACACAATGAAAATTTGTTGACTAGTTCTACTACTGTATAAATAGTCCAAGGATAAAGAAACTCAAGTTTTAAACTGCTGCTGGGAGAGGCCTTTTAATAAAAATAATTTCACTGAAGCAACATTGAACTGAAGAAAGCCAATATCAACACAGCCGTTATAGGATAGGAAAGGAATGACTAGTTAAATGTGTAGTTTTGAGGACAGATCTAGAAATGCTTCATTCAACTCATCAGTTTCCCAACGCAAAGCTGAATGTTTCAAAATAGTGTTTTTCTTTTGAAGCATTATTGTTGATCAGTAAAAAACAAGAACAGAATGTTCAGCAAGAAAGTGGTGTTCATTCTGCAGCAGTGCTCATGTCCTCAGTACATTCAGGGTATAACCACCTCTGAAATCACTCTCAGGAAAAAAAAAATTAATTAGACCTTGATTGGGGGCCATACACTTTCTGTATGCTTTAATGCCTGACAGTATGTAGAATATTCATTTCATAAATACAGATTTTTGTTTTAATAATAATAATTTTCAAAAACTCTTTTGGAATATATGTAGAAACATAACAAAATACACATATCATAGAATTCTACAGGGCGGGAAGGGACCTCAAAGCTAACCTTTATTATCCTCCACTAACTGAAAATGGGATCATATCTGTATTTTCTCCTGCAAATATTTGTTCAACCAGTTCCAAGTCTTCTAACATGCAATATTTCATCATCTCTGTATTCTAAGGCTTTACGAGCTTTAATATTAGAAAGAATTTCCTGATGTCTAATCTGAGTATCTGTTGCCATAATCCAATAGTCCTTGTCTGTTCAGAAGGATCAGGGAGCAGAGTCTACTCTCTTATTTTTAGCTACATTCTAGAGATTTAAAAGCTGTTGTTAATATTTACCCTTCATCTTCCATATTCTCAAATACATAATATTGATGTTCAGAGCATTTCTTTCAGCATATTTCTTCAACATTTCCCAGCCTGGGCCATGCTTTCTAAACCTCTGATTCATTTCAGGTTCCTACCTTGCAACTCCTCCCCAGGTCCCTCCCCAGTTGGTTTGCAATTGTATTCATTGCTGAATTACTGTCAGTGAACAGTTAATTTGACGTTTGCAGTCCATAGATCTTCAGTGCTGATTAGAAGAGAAAAAGTACTTCATAAATCTTTCACTTAGCACTTTCAATATAATGGAGTCATAATCCCTTTTCCATAATACCCCTATGGTATAAATGACCTGTGCTGACCTTGTTTTCCATTACTGACAATGTTTTCTGAAAAACCCGCAACTGGAACTTTCTTCATTCTGTTTTAAAATATCAGATTAATCCTACTCAGTGTGGATTCCTGCAATTGCATTTATAAAAAAAAAAAAAAAAGCTTCTTATTTTCTATAGACTGTTTCTCCAATGTGTTATGATTGTTTTGAATCATAACTCTCAGTGTGATTTCATTTGCTCTCGCTTTGCTCTTGTCTGCTAATAGGCATGTTCTTCATTAATGAAATTGTTAAATAGGATTAGTCTGAGCCATACCTCTGCAGGCATCATTTATTGTGTTCTTCCAGCATCACAACACATACCGGGATCCACAAGCCGAAGAATACTTATTTTGCCTATTCTAATAGATGCCAGTTGATAAAGTGTATTACAGGTAGAGCGTACTAACAGTAAGGGACATATGAAATAAACTGAGCTATTTGCATTGGTAGCTACTTAAATCCAAAAGTATCCTCAATAAAGTAACTAATATTTCTTGTGGGAGAAACTGCTCCTCAGTATATTTAAAATGGCAAAGCCCAGCACTACACAGCTTTTCCTCTCCAAAAGGGCATGACTGCATCTGTCCCTCACCTCCTTCTGTCCCTTATTTCCCACCTTCTTCTCTGCCACCACAGTGCTGGATCTTAGTCCTGTACCCTGATAAGTACTTAATGATCAGAGAATATTGACATATAATTTTCTCTTTCTCTGGCACTGCAGAGATATTTAATAGGAAATAAGAGAGCTTCAGTGGAAGAAACAAAGAGGTGAGAATACTATGCTCTCCAGCCGGATAATCTGTGTGCAGGGCATTTAGACACCAAAATGTGGTGAGGAAAGATCTGTGGGAACCCTGCAGGAGTTAAAGCTGTCAGCTTCTTGTTACTGTTAGGACTTGGATGGCAAGACCTCGACAGAGGGGTGGACCTCCTCATACTTACCTGATGGAAACAAACTCATTTGGAGACTTGAGGAGTTTGCTGTGTTTACTGGCACTATTGAACACTGATGCTTAGAAATTAATCATACAAAATACTATTTATACATTATTCAGATCACAATCCTACTGTGTGCGTTCTTTCTCTTAGGTTTGAAAACTACTCAAATGCCACTTGCTCTTAGATTCAGGCACTAAATTTCCAAATAGACTTAGGTATATAGCGTGCTTAGAGTTTTTTTCTAATATAAAACTGATACACAGAAGTCTTACTGATGTTTGTGTAGATCTCAAATATGGAATGTTGTATATTTAATCACTATCATATTAGCATATATTATTAGGATATGTGTAAATATATATGTATACTGTGTCTTAATAATTATTATTCTTTTAATATTAGTTTTGGCTGAGATCAAGTGAATTGTCAATATTTTACTTTATCTGATATCAAAAACGTAAAATTATTTTTAGTTTTGTGAGTACAGACTGTTAAAACTTTTCATTGACTACTTAATCAGAGTAAGTGTTATGCAGCTCTATGGAAGCTTATTTACCTCTTTAACTGCCTATTGTACTGGTAATTCATATGATATCTTTTAGTGATTTATCTCCTTCAACTGTGCAGTACAACTTAATGACCTATCTTCTTAGTTTATGAATTCTGAATTTACTGGGCGTTAGCAGAATGCTGGAACGGAATACATGACATATTGACACATGGGAATTCTGTATTTAGTAAATAAAAGAAAAAGAAAATGAAGGTCGTATTTAGTTCATCACTATTTGTCGCTTCTCAAGCATGGTTGGGCTGTCTGTATGGTTACAGCATTAGGATGCAGACACGCAAACATCAAGGGTCACCAGCTTCTATTTTGCTTCTCTTCATCTCCTCCCTTTGCCCACAGACGTTGCCACAGGGACACCAGCAATATCAACAACGACAACCGTGGAAATCCGGAAAAGCAGTGTTATGACAACGGAGATCACCTCTAAAGTGGAGAAAATCCCCACAACAGCCACTAGCAGCACCACATGCCCTTCCGTGGAGACGGAGGAAGAAAAAGCAAAAAGACTGCTGTACTGTTCACTATGCAAAGTCGCTGTCAACTCAGCCTCGCAGCTGGAGGCGCACAACAGTGGTGAGATGGAGCAGTGCTTTCTTTCTTTCTTCCTTTTTTTCCTTCTTTCTTAAGAGCTCTGCAATTATCTTCCCCTGAATAGATTAGATCTCTTGCAGCAGGGGACAAAGAGGTGGCAGAAAACTGGCAATTACATGGAATTCATTAACTATTAAAGAATAAAAATGACAAGCAAAGAGTCTTTCATAAAGGGCGAAGAAAGGAATTCTATTGCTTGCGAGTTACCCGTTTTCTCCCATTTTAGCTTTTGCAGCTTCCAGACCTTATAGAGCTAAGTGACAGCTCATGCTTCATTACCTTTGATGTTCAGGGTTCGCATACTTCTGTTTATGGCAACTAGCAAGCTGAGTATGAATGCCTTTAGTGTTGTGCGAAATCTAACAGTCTAAGGTTGGAACAGGGAGCATCAGTCAATCAGAGTTCAATGATGAGAGCTAGAATTCTCAGGTACATATTGTCTAATAACTATTGAAAATTATATATTTTTTCTATTTTTTTTAACTGGCTGAGAGTGATTACTGCTTGAGAGTTCAATGGGCAATTCGTTATCTCTTTCTTGAATTTTAAACCTTTTCTAATTAGTAAAGTAAAAAGCATTCATAAGTATCAGTGGTAGAAGGACATCATTCACCATCACTCTTTTAAACATAATTTTCACTGGGTTTGCAGTGAGCAGAGTTAAAAGATCTTGAGATTTAATATGGTAGCAGTGACCATCTATGATAGTCCTATAAGTGCCCTTATTTTTGGTGCCAGGGGTTATCTGAGAGCATAGTAAAAAGAAGAAAGAAACAGAAAGATAACCTCAGCTCTGAAAGACAAAAAAAAAACAAAAAAAAAAAAAAAAAAAGATATACCTGCACCAAAGTGAGGAATAGTCTTCTGATGTAATGAAAAAAAAAAGAAATAACTTTGGCATGAGTGTAGAATAGATTTAACTTAAAAAGGAAATGATAATTTGTTAGTATTCATGAGAAACAAAGCCTAATCAGTTTTGAATGCTGTGTTTGCTGTATGCCAAATTTTAACTGGTAGAAATTGAAGTTAATAAAGCTGCACCCATTTAACTTTATATGAAGACTATATCATACATTCTTCTGATCAAGATGAGAGACATTATTGGGAATACTTAGAAAAAGCACCTCCAAATTTAGTCTTCTATGCTGATAAACTGTGCCTATACTCACACGCCTGCATGCCTGTAGATGTGTACGTGTAGATGCATGTAGTGATTACTACTAGAGCACCAATTCTGTGCATGGTAGTAGTCCATTATTATCAGAGACTACCTGTGTGGAAGTCATTAGTGCAAGAAAGTGTATAGTCTGAATACAAGTGCAGCAACAGGACACTATTGTTTTCTAGCCAACATTTATTTTAATAAAAAATACAAGCAAAGTGCATAGTTCTCATGCGTTCTGGTTTCTGACCAGGCCACTGAGATCCATAAGTTGCTGGCAGAAACCTCTGTCCCTTTTTTCATTTGAGAACTAGTTAGTTAATTACAGATTCAAGTGTAAGCTAACTAATGAATACTGTTTATCAATCCATTCAGGAGGAGTACAAATCAAAGCCAACAACATCTTTAATAGGTAAATTACTCTTCCTTTGCAACTGCAGTTCAGGTCTCATTAGGAGAAATGTCACATCCATTTAACTTCACATCAGGATACCTGACTGTGCCACTACTTATTGGTGTGGCTGCTTTGTTCTAGTGTAGTACCTACAGATAAGTAATTAAATAAATATATATGAGATGTGACATACTAATGCATCAATATGAATCCAATACAGGCAAACACAGTCATGTTCCAAGGATAACACATGGCACCAAGCTGAGGTTCATATATTTCTTTTTTTTTGTAGCAAAACAAAACAAAACAGAACAAAACACAATGAATGCAATCAAATTGCCAAAGTTTTTTCTGTTTCCCATTTCTAATGTCTCCAGGGACTAAGCACAAAACTATGCTGGAAGCTCGGAATGGAAGTGGAACCATAAAAGCGTTTCCCCGGGCAGGCGTAAAAGGCAAGGGACCTGTGAATAAAGGAAACACAGGCCTTCAGAACAAAACATTTCACTGTGAAATATGTGATGTGCACGTAAACTCTGAGACACAACTGAAACAGGTACTCAGCTAGCTTGCAGAGTGTGAATCCTTGGCTATTCTTTGTTTTCATGGTAAAGTACCAACCCAATCAACATGTGGCAGTGTGACAATTCACATCTAAATGGAGCTTGCAGATTTTGCCCTTCGCACTTGACCTTTGTGCTGTGTGTTTTGGTTTTGGTATGACTTTCCCTTGCACTGAATGCATTTTTCTCAAAAGCTCGTGATTATATCTTTTTTTAAAAAAGAGTTATGGAATCTCTGAGCTGCAACATGTTACAACTGTCTTTAGACTACTCTAATTGTTGTGAGCTGATAAACCCTGCCATTTAATGTGCTGCATGATATCTCCCTTGACAAAGATGTGGAGGTGGGTACAACAAGTAGTTTCACAGAATGCTGAATAACCTGCTTAGAAATGTGGGATGGATAGGATTTTTAATTTTTTTTTATCAGTGTTGCTCTGTAACTGAGAAGCATGACCTCCAAGTTGCAATTACACTAAGTTATATTCAGTCATTCTTCAGATGAACAAAGCCTTTGTTCTCTGAAACACTTAGTTTAATTCCATGTGCCTTTTGGAATTAAATACTTGTTAAGGAACTTTACAGGAATGAAGATAAATTCTGTAATGGACAATAGCAATGTTCATCTTATGTTTTCAGAAGAAAAAAATGTCCGATTCTTTCTTCTGCCTTTGTTCTTTTTGTGAGAACTCTTTTGAGAATTAAAATCAAAGTAAAAAAATAGTTCTGAAAAAGTCCCTTACATCTGGTACTCAGCATAGTCTGTATAGAAGTCTTGTAAAATCTAATAGATTTTATGAAGAAGATAATGCACTTTGTGATTTTATTTCACTGTCACTTAGTTTGACATTTAATCATCTTTCAGCTGAAATCTTTAAAATATCTCTGAGCTGCTTATGGGCTTAAAGATTTCATCCTTTTTTAATTTTTTTTTTGAATAGGGGAGGAGGCAGTGCCTCCAGTATTTTGAATATTGGAGGCAGTAGCCTTCAATACTGGAGCACCTTAAAGCAGAAGGTGAAGTGGTCTGTTAAGGAAATAACGCTCATTGTTTTTTTTCCATATATTCTTTTTAACAGCACATAAGCAGTAGAAGGCACAAAGACAGAGCTGCTGGGAAACCACCTAAACCTAAATACAGCCCTTACAACAAACTCCAAAAGGGAACACATCCTTTAGGGGTAAGCCAACCACCTTCTTATTCACAAAACCCTTTTAGAAAATGTGAGTGGAAAATACATTCAGGATGAGAGGGGTAGTTTAGGTGGTGGGAGTGTCTGAATGAGCCCATAGAACCTATGTGAGACTTTTATTTACTTTGGTGGGTTCTGGACTACAATCTGTACATGCTTGTTTTGTAACTGCACTGAACGACCTCAGAAAAGAGCCTTGTTTCAAGGTCATTAAACAGCAAGAGCGGAAAGAAATATCCAGATGCTAAACAGGATCATTCCAGTTTTCACTAAACACAATAGTGGTGAAATTACTTTATTTAGCTCTACAAACGTTAAAAAAATCTTTAATTCTACCCTAATTCAAAAAACTACTCAGATAACAATTGAAACAATTAAAAAGAAATCTGTCTTGCAGTTCATTCCACTCAGCTTCAGCATGGTTCTCGTCACATTCCCAACTGCCAGGATAAGCTTTCTGAAGCACAGTTCTTGTTAGCTTCAAAGGATGAAAATAAAAAAAATAGTTTACTTTTTAATAAAAACCCTGTTAGGATTCTGCCATTAGTCAAGAAACAGCTTATATTGTGGGTTGGAGAGTGAAGCGTATGTCATTTATCTCCATCAGATAAACTGTGATTTTTTTGTGTGTGGCATGTGGTTTTGTAAGGGTTTACAGAGAGTTTTGGCAGGGGGAGAGTGTTGACTCACTGGCTTCATACAAATCTTCCACTCACTCATTGTCCATCCTCCTTAAGAGAGGCAGAATTTTGAGCTCTTTTCTCTGAAAGCCATTCTCTTCTCATTCAACTAGCACTTTTTTTTTCATGGCAACAGAAAATCTGTCCTTTTTCAGACAGCCCTAATGGATGGAATATTTATGCATCATTCAGTGGGTAGGCCCTTTCCCAGATGTCGAAACGCTATAGTGTGCTGTTCTGGCAGACCCACTAGTAAGGAAATGACCCCATTGGGTTTTTCAGTAATACTTCAGGGAGACCAAGGTCTCCAACAGATATAAACTATACTGAAAGGAATAGAAAATATATAATTAGGAAAGTAGGATATGGAATATCTCTAGCCTTACTGACAGGATTATTATTCCTTTAGGAAATCCATTGTTTCCCAAAGGATAGAAATATCTATTAAATGACTGTTGTTACTGCTCACATAATAATCTATTCACTTATTTTTGTAGTGGTGATTTCTGAGAACTCCACTCAAGGCCATTCAGTTTCACAGAGCAATAGCACAGGGAGTTTGTTTCTCCTGCTCTCTCACTCCCACGATCCCCACTGTCACAGTCCACAATTCAAGTTGGAAGTGAGCAAAGACACAAGAGATATTTAAAGGAGAGAGAATGCTTTAGCAATAAACCGACAGATATATGTAGCTGAATAGAGGCTACACTGAAAAGGGATAAGAGCAGTTCTCTATTTCATTTTTGCTTGAAAAAAAAAGTAGCAAAATTGCTGTCACTTCCAATACATATGACCTAGCAAGAAGCCAAAGATGTGCTAATTTTACTTTGATTATAAATGTTTTTGATGAGCTCTATACCTGTAATCTTTCTTAAATCCTCACCATTTTTTCAAGTCACTTATTGTCCCTTTATTCATGTCACTGTAAATCAAATGAATCTTAGCTCTTATTTCTTCATTTTGACCTGTTTATAGTGGGGTGATTTTAAATGAATACACATTGTACCGAATATGCTACATATTATTGGTTTGATACTGTCCTGAAAAGAGAATCAGAAACTTTTTAATAAATTAACTAAAAGGCTCTCTAACTTCATTCGTATTTTCTGATTCCTTAACTCCAAAATAAGGTTGTGCAAGTCTTTTAATATAAACAATCACCTAAGGTCTTTGCTCTTCATGACAAAAATGCATCAGCATCACAAAATTTTTTCAGTAGATGTTGGAAAAAGGACATTCTACATTTTCATAGTTTTTCTAGAACAGCAGTTTTCCAATGCCATTTTCAGTCCAACATTTATAATGCTTTGTCCAGTCTAGTTATGCGTGTTTCAGAGAAAAATGCTTTATAAATTCCCATGCTACAGTTTCACAGTTTAAGAAATCCTGTAATGCTAGGACTTATTTGGGACTTATTTGACTTCTCTGTAGTGAGATGGCTCTGATGAAACACATCCCAGACCACAGAAGGAACTCATTTGGAGGTTTTTTTGGTACTTCTGTGTGTGTGTGGCTTTTGTTGTTCTTGTTGTTTTTTACTGCCTGTTCTAACAAAGGCTAAAAAAACTGTTTACTAGATAAATATTAGGGAGAGAGGAACAAATAAAATATTCAGAGAGAGAAGAAGAAAACTTGGATGCGTGGGTCTAGCACTGATCAAGAAAAAGATAAGATCATTGATTAACATACATGCAATGAGGAGATTTATATCTAAAAACCGTATGTCCTCAGTTAAGAAAAGTATGGAATTTGGTTCCCTTTGAATATCTCTTCCAGAAATTTAAAAGACCATGAGGCCAAAAGAGTGGCCAGTATCCATCTGGCTGGCAAAGGAAAAAAAAAACTTTTGGAATACAGTGATAATGTAATGCTGAGTCTTACCAGGCAATTCCTGTCTTTCCTTTCTAACTATTCACTCAAAAAACTACTGTTAAGTGGAAAATATCAAACTGATGTACTGCAAGATAATTATTTGAAAACCCTTTTCAATTTCAAGGATGAGCAATTGGTCTTTTCCTGTGAGTGAAAAGTGTCCATACTTATATTGAGATGAACCATGTCATTTATATGTTCCTGGGAAAGGCCAGCAGCTCATCCGAGGGTATGAAGCCCACCTCAAGTCTGACAGAGCCAGTTTAGTTTGTCACTGGGTGAAGTCTATATCCTTATCTCAGAATTATAAAACCAGAACAACAAAGTTATTCAGGTTCCTAACTTTTCATTAGAAAATTAAATCCCATTGTAGTCTACAGAAATCTGTGTAGACTACTGTGGTGTTCATTTGCACATGTACTAAATATAAACACTCTAGACACAAATGATAAAGGAACTCTGTGAGCATTTTTAATTAGTCTTTGATATAATAAACCATGATGCTTGAGATTATGCTTGAGATTTTTTTTTTCTCCCTGGAAACCATTAAATGAAGGATTTTCTAAATTGTATTTAGTATTGCACAAGGCCCATGTTATACAAGTTTTTTGAAAGTGAAAGCTCCAGTGATTAGTTACAATATCATAGTTTTGCCCCTTCTTAAGTGATGTAGACAAAAGCTTATCATGACAGTATTTTTTGAATATCTGACACTTTTTCACAGTCTTTGTATGAGTGAATAGTATCTGTGTAGAAAAGAGCTTCTGAAGACAGAGCAAGACAATGTAGGGCAGTGCCGATGATAGATTTTACCACCTATTTGAACACATGAAAAGTTAGGAGATTTTCATAACTTGTGCAAGTTAAGTTTTTTTGAATTACTTAGGCACAAGCTAATAAAGAGCAGTTAACTGGAGTTTTTAAGCAGAACTTCCCTCCTAGCAATAATAAAAACAAAAGTATCTTCTTGGTCATACCAGAGAAAAGGACATATTTTCATTCTGCTCTGGTCATTAACATGACCAGATAGACATCTCTAATTGATGGCTAATTCTTTCTTATTTAATTCTTGCAGGGTACACATAGTTTTACTTTGGTACAGATTTTCCAGCCCCTCTCTAGATTTGCTTTGATTTCTCCTCTCATATTAAATAATAAATCTCAGTGCTTAGATGTGAGTCCACAGCCAAACAAATATTGAAACACTTTGTCCCGTACCAAATCCCGCTCACTTTTGTTCAATGTGCAGGAGATCATTTCTCCCGTCACAACCCTGCAGTTCATAGTGTCAGTAACCAGAGCAAGGCCTCTCTTTCTTGATTTTCCACTTACAGTCTAAGTCAAGCTTTCTGTCATGTGGCTAATATGAACAAATTATCTCTCTCTGTTTGTTTGTTTTCTCTCTTCCCCACAGGTAAAATTAGTATTTTCAAAGGAACCTTCAAAGCCGATGGCTCCGCGAATCCTACCAAATCCGCTAGCAGCTGCAGCAGCAGCTGCTGCTGTGGCTGTGAATTCCCCTTTCAGTCTTCGAACAGCCCCAGCAGCTACCCTTTTCCAGACTTCAGCACTTCCTCCAGCACTCCTACGACCAGCTCCAGGGCCTATACGGACCACCCATACTCCTGTGCTGTTCGCTCCTTATTGAACTCCAAACAGGAATTAATTGTACTGCAATAATTTTTCAAATCAAAGCAAGCAAGCAAACAAACAAACAAAATGAAGAACATTGAACTATGCAGTGTTTATTTATAGTTTAAAGTATATATGAAGAGCCAGGACTTTTGATAGAGAACTGAACAAATTCTAGAAGGGGGAATGGGCAGTATTTTCTCCAGATGAGAGCATTCCTCCTGAGTATTGATCGTTTTAGAACTGATCTCCAGCATTGACTTGTAGTGACATATAAAAAAAGCCTTTTGACTGTGCTTTTTGGCACATATTTCCCTGCAATGTCTTTCCTGCTTTATGAAACAACTTACAAATTTGTCTAAAGGGCATTAACTGGTTCCAATGTACATAAAATACTTTATTCTGTAGATTAAAGAAGAAGGAAAAAAAGAAACACTGTGAATAGTAGTACCCTTATCAATCCTCCTGCCAAATCAGCAGTTACTGGGTATTTATCTGAACAAAAGTAGTTACAATAGATGTCTTGTAAAACAGTAGTATTGTGTCTCTATCTATGCCACTAGGTTTCTTACTGAGTTGCAAAAGATAAAATGAACAAATTATGTCACTTACCTTGTTAAGTAGTCAAAAATGATGACAATAATGTGGAGCTGGTGAGCAAAATGGATTTCCTCACCTGCAGAAGAATGGGCATGAAGATAATCTATGGTTAGGACAAAGTGAATGAAAGAGAAGATACTGTAAAAAAAAAAAAAAAGAAAGAAAAGTAAATCCATGTGCTGTACACAGAGTAGGGCAAACTTTTATTTAGCTGAGAACATATGTGTACAGTGTGTGTATGTCCAAAAGGTGTAATGCATACAGGATTGGCTACTGTTTAAGGCATGCCAGTGGACAGCAAAAAAAAATACACTCTTTTGATGAAACAGGCATGACACTTCAGCGTTGAGCAGAGAGAGGACACAAATGGGTTACACAAAGTCATAACTAGCAAATGAAAACCAAGAGAGAAATCCTGGCCTCATTTAAGTCAATATAAGGTTCCCCCTGACTGCAATGTAGCCAGAATTTTATCCCAAGAATGGCACATATTTTTTTTATATCATACCAGTGGGAGTGTCTGTAGATACAGGTAACATATTTTTGCTATAGGC